AAGGAAAGGAAAGGAAAGGAAAGGAAAGGAAAGGAAAGGAAAGGAAATAGAGAAGAATAAAAAGAAGGGAAAGAAAAAGAGGAGAGGAGAGGAGAAGAGAGGAATAGAGAAGAACAAAAAAGAATGGAAATGAAAAGAAGAAGGAAGAGAAGAGGGGAGGGGAGGGGAGGGGAAAGCATGGGAATAGATCAGAATAAAAAAGAAGGGAAAGGAAAAAGAGAAGAAGGAAAAGACACAAGAGGAAAGGGGGAAAGAGGAGAGGGAAAGCGAATGAGGAAAGGGGGAAAGAGAGGCAAGGGGAAGAAGACTGGAACAAGGAAAGGGAAGAGAAGGAAAGAAGGTGAAGGGAGTGTGGGTGTGCACATGTGTATTTGCATGCCTGTGTGTGTGTTTGTGTATAAGAAAGAGAGATCTTCATATTGCACAGATTACTATTTAAGTAAGACAATGGTGGCATGTATATCCATCATGTATCAGCTGTTCTAAGAGACTGTGCTTGCCTGCAGGAAGAAAAACAGTGTCGCGTTTAAACTTTTAGCTGGACAAATCGATTTCTTGTGAATGTGCCACATCTTTAGCAAAAAGAAGTAAAAGATGCAGAAACAAGAAGAGGCTTGGGAACCTCAACTCCACGAATTAGCATAGAATTTGAAAGCGTGACGCAGACTGGGATGTGATGGATGCCATCCATCCTGGGATTGACTCTCCCACAGGCCGCATAAAAAGGGGCATTTTTCTTCAGCTCAGCTATATTTTAAAATACCGGCGTAGACAAATATTTTTACTCCTCCCGGTCATAGGGAAAGGGGAGAGGCGTAATCTGCTTTTGTCTTTTTAATTGAAAAAAGATGGGATTGGAGATTTGAAGGACCTCAGTGGCCAACTCAAAAGAGTTGTCCCAGCACCTCCAGCCCAATATTTAAATGAGACATCCTGAGGCAAAATAAGAGATTATTATCAGACCTCAAGAATGGCGGACGGCTGTGGTTGGTGAATTTTACGGGGAAGGCATAAGGATGCAAAACGAGGACCAAGTCTGGCTATCCAGTTTGAAAAGGTTAATGCTATTAAAACAGCTGCTTAACATGATGCAGTTATAATATGCAGGTGATTTTCTAAACCAGGGGTCTCCAACCTTAGCAACCAAGTCTTTGTGGACTTCAACTCCTAGAATTCCTCAGCCAGCAAAGCTGTTCAGGAGTCTTAAAGCAAAGCTGGCTGAGGAATTCTGGGAGTTGAAGTCCACCAGTTGCTAAGGTTGGAGACCCCTGCTCTAAACAACTGTTGCTCCATAAGGAAAACAATCCAATCCAATTTCATGTGAAGCCAGATTTCTCCCTTTTTGCATTTTCAAAATGGAGAATTTTGTCTTTCACACCTTAAAAGACAATTACTTTGATATTACTTTGCAGATTATGTTGATCCATGTCCTCCACAGCAGTGTTTTTCAATCTCGGCAACTTTAAGATGGGTGAACTCTAACTACCAGAATTCCTCAGCCACCAACTTCAAGATGGGGGGACTTCAACTCCCAAAATTCCCCAGGCAGCAACTTCAAGATGCGTGGACTTCAACTCCCAGAATTTTGCCTGGGGAATTCTGGGAGTTGAAGTCCATACGTCTTAAAGGTCCTGAAGTTGAGAAACACTGTTCTACAACCAGGGGTGGGATTCTATCAGTTGGCACCTATTCGCTAGAACCGGTTGTTAACATTCTAAGCAGTTCAGAGAACCGGTTGTTAGAAGAATTTACTGGCCTAATCCTGTAAGGAAGGCAGGAAGGAAACATTCTGGGGTTGCTTACAGAAACTGCCTCTCCGTTAACCCTTATTACATTCTTGGCAGGACTAGACTTCCTGTCTCTGGAACTTCTCTGGAGTTTTTCCCCCCTCCTTTGCTGGTACTTTGCTTGTGTGGAGTGACCATTCAAAGTTACAATGGCACTGAAAAAAGTGATGTATGACCATTTTTCACACTTACGACTGTTGCAGCATCCCCACAGTCACGAGAGGCCAGGCGAGGAGATGCGTGCCTTGATGTGAGTGATATTGAGTTGGCCACACCCAGCCAATAACATGACCACCAAGCCATGTCCACCCAGTCACATGACCACCAAACCACGCCCACCACCTAAGCCATGCCCACAGAACCAGTTGTTAAAAATTTTGAATCCCACCTGTGCCTACAACCTTGCTATTCCTATTTAGCAGGTGCATAATAATGCGTATAAACATTCTCCTAGGCCCCAAAAGCTAGAAACTGTACTAAATTGTTTACGTATAAGAGTATTCTTCAAATAAATCTATTCCATTCCCCTTTCCAGTGACCACTGATCATATTTGATCCTCACTGTGGCATTTTAAAACAATAATAGTGACAAGAACGCCTTTAGGTGAATTGGGTGGCATACAATTTGACAAATAAGTATATATCACTCCATCACTGGAGGTTTTTAAGCAGTTGGATAGCTATTTGTCTGAAATGATGTAAGATCTCCTGCCTGAGCCATGGGTTGGACTAGAAGGCCTTCAAGGTCCCTTCCAACTCTATACTTCTGTTATTCTGTTACATAAACATATATATACTCCAACTTCCAGAATTCTGGCCAGGGAATTCTGGGAGTTGAAATCCACCCATATTAAAGCTGTTAAGATTGAGTGCCAAGTGGTAGGTCTGCTCTGGCACCAGCAATTCCACCCCATGGCTTTAAATCTGAAATCAGTCATTACTACAGATCTATCATACCCTTTTTGTAACTCCTAGGTACGACTCTCAGTTATATTTCAAATGGTTTGCTGAAGAGCGGTAAAGAAACTGTGCCCAAGAGCTTCACTTACAATGAGCATTGTCACAAGGAGGTTCTTCTTGGTCACCTGGGCATGGGAAAAGATGTAGTTGAGCACAGTGTTCATATCGCTTTTGTTCTCCTCTCGAAGAGCAAAGACGCATTTTTCATAGTGACCTGAAAGCAGAAGGCCAAACATAACATTTATTAAATAAGAGAGGTTTGATGACAAGAAGGGTGGCAGGATGGTTAAGATGCTGGGCTTCCCTGGCTGGAATAACCTGGAGGAGTTTTGAGACCCGAGCATCGCATGGCAGGTGAGCACCCATCTACACCTCATCTCCTGCCTACCTGGCAGTTCGAAAGCCTGTCAAATGCGCGTAGATAAATAGGTGCCACTTCGGTGGGGAGGAAACGGCATTCCGCTGGCCACATGACTGCGCATCTTTGGGCAGCACTAGCTCATGGCCTTGAAACAGAGAGGAGTGCCATTGCTTAGAGTTAGCAACGACTACCGGAGTCGTTGAAAGGCCATTGGACTTTCTGGTTTTTCTTTGAAAACTCCTTTATACTCCTGTAAGGAGTATAAATCCTTCCGTTCCCCACCATCCAGTCAGATCTGAAGAAGCTTCTTGGATGAGAAGCGAAATGTCTTCAAGGAAAAACCAAGAAAGTCCAGTTGCCTCTTTAAAAAAAGCACCTTTGGGATGACTGGCGGAGTAAAATCCACAGGGATTTTTTTTCTTTCCTCCCCTTGATTACAAGAAGGTGCAACCTACTTTGAACGTCCTCTAATTGGGGGCATTCCTGATTTGGGACTTGCAGCTGCCAGAATTCTCAGCAATGCCCACAATGGATGGGGAGGCCTGGGAGTTGAGGAATATACCCCCTAAAAAAGTACTCCTAGATGGGGAAAGTCTAAGCTAGTACAAATTAAAATACTTTGGGGTGGTTTTGCTGAAAACCAGCATTTATTTCTAGTTATTGGCAAACCCTTGCCACAATGAACAGATTTACTTAACAACTATAGTGCTCACTTAACCATGGCACTCATACTTACAACCACATTCATTTAACAACCAATGCAAAAAGGTCATAAAATTGGGCCAGTTACATGACCCACCCATTATATGACTCTTACAACTTACATCCATAATCGAAAGGTGCCATTATGGACATAACTCAAAGGGCTACCTGTCATCAGATTCCCTTGGTTTTACAGACCTGCAAAGGCCATCGATGCAAGGATTGGCTACAAAATTAATTTTTCACCCCCATCGTAACTGCAAAGACGATTTATAGTCTTCTTTCTTTCGTTTTTTTACTCTTTGTATATTGGGTTTTTATTTTCTGTAAGCAGAGGGCAGAAGGAAGGAAGGAAGGGAGGAACGGAGGAAGGAAGGAAGGAAGGAAGGAAGGAAGGAAGGAAGGAAGGAAGG